ATCCTCGAGCCACACCGACCCGCTCTCCTCGCCCAAGATGGCGCCGCCGTTGTCGGCGCTGAACCCGTTCACGAGCGTGAGCCGTCTTAGCGAAAGGCTGCAGTTGTTGGAGAGGTGAAAGATGCGACTCAGGCCGCCGCCGTCGATCGTGGCGCCCTCGTCGCTGCGCACCGAGACGTGCACAGGCGCATTGCACGTGAACGGAGAACGGTCCAACTCAAGAACAGAGCCAGATGGCAGGACCACAGTCGCAGATTGGTTCAAGGCGGTGGCCGCCGTGATCGCCTGGTGAAGCTGTGCGGCGGAGGCAGCCGTGATCGTCTGGTGAAGCTGTGCGGCGGAGGCAGCCGTCACTGAGGACGACCTGTGCGCGACCACTGAGGTCTCCGGTGGCGCGCCGGCCGCGGAGCCAGCAAGCAGCTGAGCCACGAGCAGCATCCAAAGCCTCGAAGCACCCTACATGCAAAGCCTCCTTCCAAAATGGGCGGCGGCAAACCCGCGTGTTTTCTTTCCTTTCGCACCTGTGCGTCGTGTTCATTCCCGTGCCCAGTGTTGTGCGAGGGACTGGTGAAATTCTTTAAAGAAGAATTTGGGATCTGGCCTGATGCGCTCCCCACTGCCACTCCCGTTCCCCCTCCTGTTCCCTTGTGCCCTGGTCGTCCTTCCTTCCAAGAACGTTCTAACTAACACCGCTGCGGCTGTGGTGTTAACCGTTAACGTGCCAGCACCGTTCTAACATTAGTCCACCAGCCCTGCGCCCGCCCGGCCGGAGGTGAGGCGGAGCTCAGCCCCCACGCGTCGCCGCAAGGCCGCCTTCCGTCCCCCCCAATACTTGCCGCTCGCCCCCCCCCCCCCTCCTCGACTGCACTCCCTTTTTAAAAACGGTGGCGGTCAGAGGCAAAGCCTACGAGGGGTGGTGGAACCACATGTCACGGCTACTGACGGCTCGACCCCACGATAGCCTCCGAAGGCTGACTTTGCGGCACCATCATCGGACGATGTCGACGAGTTGGGTGGCTCTCGCGGTAGCCAGATGACCTCTCATACTAGCATCATCGGCCATGGCCGCAGGGAGCGCGGGGGAGGGCGCTGGGAGCAACACGGAGCTCCGTTGGACGTTTTCAAGATTAGCGTGTCAGAGTGTCAGAATTGGAACATCCTTTCTTTGTTACGGTCACGGTCGACACTCCCGCCCTCCCGACCCCTCGACACCCCTACAGCGGCACCCCTACCCCTGCCGCCGTTTTAGCTATTAGGGCTGAAGCGATGTTTTTTGAGAGAGTTGTTTTCATCAGCGATCAGGCCTCAGGCGGACAGGCACAGGGATCAGGGTCAGGCGCCCGCCCGGGGCGCGCCCGCCCTTCTCTGGTAGGACGGGAACGAGATGACAGTAGGGAGTAGAAGAAAGCAAAGAGGAGCCCTGCGCACGCACGACTCCGCAGGAGAAGCCCCTCCCGCCCGTGCTTGCGCAGCGCAGCCGCCCGGCCGGAGGTGAGGCGGAGCTCAGCCCCCTCTCGAGAGCCTCGCACGCGACATTGGGCGGCGTGATGCCGGCAATGTACTTGGTCTTTGCACAGGCAATCCGTTGGACGAGGTTGAGGCGGAGCTGCGAGGTGTTCGTGACGCAGTCAGTGTCGACGACCGTGTCGATGACGTCGAGCGGCGCGAGCTTCTTCCTGAGGTGCGCGGTGAGCTCCTTTTTGCAGGCTTCAGGGTTGCCGAAGAAGGTGCCGACGGCCTTGAAGCAGTCCACTCGCCCCGTGGGTTTGCCCTCCTTGTCGCGGTGCGCGGGCGAGCCCCGGAGCCAGCCCGGCGCGCACGAGAGGTCGCCCTCGGGCGAGTAGATGAGCGACTTGCTGACGCCGTCGAAGACGCTCGCTCCCTTCTTCTGCGCCTCGAGGAGGCCCTTTGGTCCGGAGTAGGCGGCGACGGCGTGCGAGGGCTAGTCGTTCACGTTCTGGCAGATGTCGTCCGCAAAGCCGATGAGGTGTTGTTGTCTACTGGTGACCATAGACCATAGTAGTGTCTGTCTCGTTTGCGAGATCTTCACACGAATACTTTAAAGTCTCGACAGTCACTAAGCCGTTCATGGTAGGAGGCAACCGATGCGAGTCGACTGGTGTGTGTCGTCGTGGTTTCGTATCAAGAATACTCACTCACTCACACGCTGCTTATGTGGCACCGCAGAGGCTCCCTTGGGGATGCCTGAGGCCACCCCAACCACTCACTAAGCCTACACTAAGCGAGTACCCCGGGGTTTGCCCCCCGAAACTGGCACGGGGAACCTTAAGCGATTCCGATTGACTGTCCTCCGTCGGTGGGGATAGTTCGCCATATAATTAAGGATAGTGTTTGTCAGAGAATGGACGCTTCATGAACGGCGTGTCGGGCATTCCGAAAAAAAAGGCGCTGGAAAGGTGACCGCCTTCGAAACGAACGAAAGAGTGAACTTCCGCCCCGGCGCTCCCGCCTCCGGCTCTGCCTCTGCTGCCTCCCATCCCAGTCGCCCCACGTCCACATTCCCTAGCGCGCGCGCCCTGCGACGCAGCGCCGCCTTTACTGCTGCTGCCGCTGGCCTCGAGCCACAGCGCTCCCGAAAACCGCTACCCCCGCAACATGCGGCCGCGTTCGCATCCCAGCCTACTCACGGTGTGCGCTCCCCTCGTGTGCAGAACACCGCGCATAAATGGGCTGCACCGCCGCGAAGATGGAGCACGCAGGGACGGACAACATCAACGGCGGGGCCGACATCGAGGCCGAGCCACGCGCGGAGATCCAGTCGCTCAAGGACGAGAACCAGGCGCTCAAGGACGAGAACCAGGCGCTCAAGGACAAGGTGCAGGCGCTCGAGGCGGAGAAGGCCACCACGTGCCCCGCCCCCCTCTCTCCCGGACCCTCCGCCACACCCTCGCCACCACGGGGGTCAGGCGCTCGAGGACAAGGTGCAGTCGCTCAAGGCGGGGTCGACGCCGGACGGCTCCGACAAGCTTGGCACTTCGCGCGACGTCAAGGTCCCCCCCCCACCCCCACCCCCCCCACCCACCCACCCACTGCCCTCGCCACCGCCGCCACCGCCGCCACCGCCGCACCCTCGCCCTCGCCGCCCTCGCCGCCTCCTCACTCCTCCCCGCCGCCGCCGCCGCCGCGTCTGTCTCCCTCCCCCCGTCTCCCTCCCATCCGTCCTCCCACATGCACATGCACATGCACAAACATGGACATGTGCATGCACATGCACATATCATGCACATGTGCATGTGCATGTGCATGTGCATGCACGTGTGCATGTGCATGTTCCCGCCACCTTCCTCCCCTCTTCTCCGCCAACACGTCCCGCCCCCCCCCCCCCCCCGCCCCGCCCCCCTACCCGACCCACCGCCACCCTCGCCACCACGGGTCAGGCGCTCAAGGACGACGTCCAGTCGCTCAAGGCGGGTTCGACGCCGGACGGCTCCGACAAGTTTGGCACTTCGCGCAAGGCGACCTCCCCCCCCCCCCCACACACACACACCACCACCACCACCACCAACCAGCCCCCCCACGCAGCCTCCACACCAATGTCTCCTATCAGGTTGCCCTCGAGTCCGCCACGAAGTGGGCCGTCGCCGGCTGGGTGAACTCCCTCGAGCTCACTGAGGTGGTGGCCAAGGCGCTGAAGGAGCCGCCCGGCACCGACCCGTTCAAGTACGTGTGCAATCTCTCGCTCGCCGACCTCACGGAGAAGCTCGAGGCGGAGAAGCTGAGCGGGCTCGTTGCGCCCCTCTGGTCCGCCGTCGAGAAGCTGCGCGGCCAAGGCGCCGCGACCGGGGCGGCGCTGAACGCCAAGTTCGCCGCGGAGGGCGACGCGGTCAAGGGCGAGATGGGCTTCGGCGGCGTCAAGCAGTACTTCGGAGGCGCGCTGCTCGCCAGTAGCTCGCCCGTCTCAGTAGCGTTGCCCCTCTCCTCGTACCGCCGACGCCTTCAACGCCCCTGCCCGCCGCCTCCTTCGCCGCCATCTTCTCCACCACCAACGCCTCCGCCACCCTCGCCGCCGCCAGCGCCGCCACCATCCCCCCACCGCCACCTCCTGCGCCGCTTCCTTCGCCTCCGCCCCCCGCTCTCCCTCTCCTCCGCCCGTCACGCCGCCTCTCTCAGTGTCCCTCGCCTCCGCCTCCCTCACCACCACCTTCACCGCCCCCCCCTTCCTCCCTTCCCCCCCCCCCCCCCTCACACACATACCCCCTCCCCACCCACCCCACCACCGCCCCCAACCCCCCCTGCAGGTGCGGTTGACGGGCGTGGAGGGCAGCACGCTCGTCGTCCAGTGCAGCATCTCCATCAACATGGCCTCGCTCACGCTCGAGCAGGTGGCGGGCAAGCGCCTTAAGCTGCTCACCGACATGGGCGCGCAGATGGCGGCGGAGGTGCGCCGGGGGGTGGCGGAGGAGGCGGCGGCGGAGGCGTCGCAACTAGTGCGCATCCGGCTCGGCCTCGATCGATGCGCGGAGGGGGGCGCGGAGGACAAGCGGCTCAAGGCGCCGCTCGGCGACAAGGCTGAGGCGTACAACGATGACGTGCGCTTCGAAGCGGCGGTCGGCGACGCGCTCAAGGTGAAGCGCGCGGCGGTGCTTGCGGCGGCGATGCAGCGCGGCGGCGGCGGCGGGCTTGCCGCGGCGATGGATGCGGTGTTGCCGCTGCAGGCCAGCCGCGTCGATTTGTCGGGGTTCGACCTTGGCGACGATGGCGTGATGGTGGGCACGGTGGTCGCGTGGATGGAGTCGGAGCCGTCGGCGCTGACGTCGCTGGCGCTCGACTGGGGCAAGGTGTGCGGCCGCGTGCGGGAGGCGCTGCTCGGCGCGGTGCGGAAGACGCACACGCTCGTCGCGCTGAACGTGGGCGACGAGCTGACGCTCAACCCGCAGCAGCTCTGCGGGCGCGAGGCGGTGCCGTCGCTCGACTTGTCGAACAAGGGACTCGGACCCGGATCGGCTGCCGTCGTCGCGGCGGGGCTTTCGGTCAACGAGGTATTGACCGACCTCGTGCTCTGGAGGAACAACATCGGCGACGAGGGTGCCAAGGCGCTAGCATCCGCCCTTCGCGTCAACGGGGTGCTGACCAACCTCGAACTCTATCGCAACAACATCTACGACGAGGGCGCCAAGGCGATCGGCGGCGCTCTCGCGGTCAACGGGGTGCTGACCGATCTGAACCTCTGCGGCAATGACATCGGCGACGAGGGCGCTAAGGCGTTCGGCGAGGCGCTGGCGGTCAACGGGGTGCTGACCAACCTCGTGCTCGTCGACAACTACATCGGCGACGAGGGCGCCGCTGCGCTGGCCTCCGCTCTTCGCGTCAACGGGGTGCTGAAAAACATCGACCTCCGCGACAACAGTTTGGGCGACGAGGGGAAGGGAGTGGTTCGAGATGCGGTGAGCGGGCGGGAAGGGTTCGAGCTAAAGATGTGAATGGGGTCTGAGAGCTAAGTCGGGGAGGTGCATGAAATCGGACAGTCTTGTACGTGGTAGCGCTATTCTGCACACATGTTTTCTCTTTTATCGATCAACACTTTCGATAGACCGAAAGTAAGATCGTTCGGTGCAGAAACCCCGGCCATGCCCATGTAACGCAATTGTGCTCGATTTTTTTTGATTTTTTGGTAGAAGTGTCTCCAAGTCTTCTGGACCCATCGATGGCCGTCGCCTCGACGCCGCTCGTCGCGGCACCATCGTGCCCGGCCTGGGCGAAGCATCGTCGCGGGCGCCAGCCGCAGTTCGACGGCAAGCTGTGCGAGCCTGCTAAGGAGGAATGTGGCTGTGCCTGGCCGACGGCCGCGCGCGCAGCACCGCCGACCTGAAGCGCCTGGCGACAGCCGCTCGGGTGCGAGCGAAACGAGCAAGAGATGCAGCCGCCGCGAACACGCGCGATCGGCAGGCGCGCGACCAGCGCCGCCGGCAGCGTGAGCAGCACGACCGGCGCGCAGCGCCGGCGGTCGCCAAGACCGTGCGCCCACAACGCGGCCAGTGCGGCTGCCCGGCGCACGCGGTGTGCGGCATGTGCGTCGACCAGGGCAAGCTCGCCGCGGCCGAGCAGGCGGCCATCGACCTGGAGACGCGCTTCCACGCCTCGACGAACGTCGTCATGGACCTGGAGCGGCCCGAGGACGAGACGGCGGCGCTGCTGCAGCGCTGCGTGCACGTCTCCGACGAGACGAGACGAAGCGGCGGCTGCTGGGCGAGTGGAGCGACGAGCGCATGGCGCACGCGCTGCCGCTGCACGCATGCGCCTCGTGCGGCGTGCGGGACCCGTCGCTGACGTACACGCGGGTTGACGTGTCGGCGCTGCCGCGCACTGTGTCTGTGCGCGTAGCCGGCGGCGAAGACGAGACGCGGCACGTGTTAGAAAAGGAGTTGCGGTGTTGATCGCCGCGGGAGCCCTCTTATTTTTCAGCAGGGCGCTGACCAAACTCGTGCTCCTCCGGCTCTAATCCTACTTGCGCGTGCACACGCTGTCTTCGAGAATTGAGAGTTGTTAGTTCATCCGGCTTTGTGAGAGCGACGTCGACGAGCGTCTCGTAATGCGGCATGTTCAGCTTGTGACCGCGCGACGCTCCCGGACCACATCGAAATCGCAGCATCGCCGGACCGCGAGTCGCGTTTGCTGTGACGCTGAAGAGGAGGTGGCAGAGCAGGCCCCCTTCCACGCCGTCGTCCCACGCGATCGGAGACGAGGGCATCGCTCGCTTCCACAGGTCGCAAGTGACGACAGCGTCCTGCTCGTGGTCTAGGTGCAGCAGACGGAGCTTGGTGAACGCGTCACTTGCGCGAGTCGACGCAGAAACGCATGGGCTAGTTCCATTTCACGTGGCACAGCTCGCGTTACAAAACCTTGATTCGACCATTTGCGCAGAAAGGTACATCTCGGTGCCTTCCAGAGGCAGCTGCGACCCCGCCGAGTGGACGGCGTCACACGGCAGGTGGCGCGGTGTGCGTCCTGGGTATGTACCTTTGTCGCGCGCCGGAGACGACTCGACGCCGCTGAGATCGGAGATCAAGCTCTGACAGGTCGCACGTCGCTCCTTTGACGCCGAAGTGACTCGCCCGTACAGAGCACATCAGTACACGGACTTGACGCGCTCGGTACGACGCCTGCGACCCGTCTTGGGTCAGGTGGCACGACGCTCATCGCGCCTACCAGCGCTGCCGTGCAGGTTGCCACGACGAGGTCGAGCACGCTTCTATACGCTCGCCCAGCCTTCCTTTCCATCCCATTAGGCAGCCTGGGAACGGTGGCGGTCAGAGGCAAAGCCTGCGAGGGGCGGTGGAACCACATGTCACGGCCACCGCCGGCTCGACGCAACGATAGCCTCCGAAGGCTGACTTTGCGGCACCATCATCGGACGATGTCGACGAGTTGGGTCGCTCTTGCGGTAGCCAGGTAGCCCCCCATACTAGTAGCACCAGCCATGGCCTCAGGGAGCGCGGGCGAGGGCGCTGGGAGCAACACGGAATACAGTAAAAAACATCAAAAGTGGTCTCATTATGACAGCACCCGTATTTGCAACTAGTCTGAAGCGATGTTTTTTGAGAGAGTTGTTTTCATCAGCGATCAGGCCTCAGGGACAGGCACAGGGATCGGGGTCAGGCGCCCGCCCGGGGCGCGCCCGCCCGGCCGCGGGAGGTGAGGCGGAGGCCGGAGCTCAGCCCCCACGCGTCGCCGCAAGGCCGCTCGGAATTGGCCGCCTTCCGTCATACTTGCCGCTCGCCCCCCCCCCTCCTCGACTGCACTCCCTTTTTACATACATAAAATTCTTGTTTCTGGCGGCGGCGCTCCACAGCGTGTGTGCTTTCGCTGCACTTATCTACCGCGCTGACGGTGGCACATACTCGGGCGGTAGCACCTGCGGAAGCGGCTCCCCCTTCTTGCTGCGCATCGCAAGGTGCATCGCGACCGAAAACCTACAGAGACGATCGGCGTTCCTCATTCCAAATCTCGCGGCTGGAGATTTCCTCTCTCTCAGAGGAGAGAACCAGTCGGCGTCCAGGGATCCGGCGCCGCCAACGTCGCACAAGCTCCAGATCGCCTTCAACGCGTCGTTGGGCAGACCAGATCGGCGCAACACCGGCGCGACTTTTGCACCGCTCGCGCGGCCACCGTCCGGGGCCATCTGCTGGAAGATCGAGTCGTACCGCGCCTTTTCTGTCGCGCTCACCACCCACGCCTACTCGCAGACCCGACTTCTCGCAGACCCGAGTTTCATCGAGAAGCCCCTTGCCGCGCCCAAGCTTGCTGCCGCTGAGGGCGCCGGCGCCGCCGGCGCCGGTCCTGCGCACGATGGAGAGCGCGATTGCGCAGCACCCGCCGAGCCAACTCCGAACAGGCCGTCCAAGACCGCGCTGCCTGCTCCTCCTCCCCCTCCGGCGCCCCGCCGGTTTGGCTCCGACTCGGGCAGCGCCGCGCCGAGGGACTGTGTCGACCAGGGATCGGTGCCCCCGGGGGGCGGATGCGACCACGGGTCCGCCGGCGTGGGCGTCGATGCTGCTGCCGCCTCTTTCGCCTGCGCCGCCGCTGGCGATGCCGCCGCCCACGGGTCCATCGGCGGCACCGCGACGGGCGCACCGCCGGCGTGGACGCTGGGGCTTGGCGATGCCTCTGTGGCAGCTGGGGCCAGGCCGCCGCCGGGGATGGCATCGAAGCGCTCCATCAGCTGCGCAACGTCGGTGGAGAGGATCGCCTCCAGCGCGTCGAGGCTCCTCGGGTCCAGCTTCTTGAACTTGGCGAAGTCGCGGCACGCCTGTGAGATGTGAGAACAGCCGGCCGGTCGGGTGGTGTAGAAGCTGTGCCGCCGTTGGGTTCACCGAGTTGCCTGGCGCTGGCTGGTGCCGCGCCGTGCGAACTGCGGACCTCGCCGTGGGACTGGCGGCGGCGGATCTTGTGTTGTGTTGGGGAGGGAGGGCGGAAGAGGCGCCTCCGAGGTGGCGAGCGTGTGCCGAAACTTGGACACGTCCGGGAAGTCCCCCGCGGGCAGGTTGTGCCTCTTCATCACGGCGTAGAAGACGTCCTCGATGCCCGCGATGAGCTCGCGCTGCTTTCGGTCCTTGCTGCCCACCTTCGGCATCTCCGCCCGGAGGTGCTGCAGCAGGAGAGCCTGCACGCGCACACGCCGTGTCCGTGCCACCAGGGCATTGATTCGGCCCACGGTGCAGTTGCGCGGCACCGCCGCGAGGTCGGTGAGCAGCGCGACGGCCTCGCTCTCAAAGAGTGGGTTGAGGAAGTTTCCGTGCCGCAGCGGCGCGTCCCAAAAGGAGCCCACGTAGACGCGGCGGCTTTCCGGCGAGCGGAGAATGCGGGAGAGCGACCAGGACAGCGCCGAGTTGACCCGCAGCAGCTCCTCGGGCGAGAGCGAGTCCGCCTTGTTCATCACCACACGCACCTTGTCGTCGTGGCCCTGCAACACCTCGATCACGCGCTTGAACTCGTCGGAGATGTCCACCTTGTGCGCGTCGAACATGAGGAGGATGAGGTCGGCCCGCGGCGCAAACCAGCGCACCACGTCCTCGTACGAGTAGAGGCGGTCCTACACACGTCGCACCACCCCCCGTTATCCACCGTGGGAGCCCCCCGCCCTCGTCCCGTGCGAGCAGAGGTGTCCTCCGTCTGCTTCCGGCCGGAAAGCACGCCGGGCGTGTCGATGAGTGTGCATCCGCGCGCGAAGAGGGAAGGCACTTCGCAGCCCGAGAATTTGGAGAGGAAGGCATTGCCAAAGCATCGCGAGAGCTCGTAGAAGGGCGTGTCCGGGTTCGATGCGAGGGCGTTTCCGGGCAGCTCTCGCGCCGCCGCGCCGTACATGATGGCTTGGAAGCGGTCGGTCGTGGGCTCCGGGCCGACGTGCATGCCCGGGAAGTCGGACTCGAGCAGGTAGCGGATGAAGGAGGTCTTGCCCACCGAGTACTGCCCGACCAGCAGCACCATCGGCCTGGCCTCAAAGTCGCAATCGGCGAGGAGCGGATAGTGGAAATGCTGCACCAGGCTCTGCTCCTCGAGTGGGCGCACCTTGGTCATGTAGATCGACCTCACGCCATCGAGGATGGAGTCGAACGCAGCAACGTCGCACTGCGGGCCGCGCCTCTTTGGCATTGGGCCACAGCTCGAGGGTGCAGATACCCAGCTCGAGCTGCTCGGAGGACGCGAGCAGGGGTAAACGAAACAAACATTTTTCCACCGCGCAGAGCGGGTCCCTCTTTGTTTTCTTTCTTTCTTCGAGCTGGTCAGGCTCGAGGGGGCTGCTTACCCGAAGAGTGGCGCCGCATCACCTTACTCGAGGTCTGGGGAGAGAGGTGGGTCTCCTTGGCGGCGACGACCGCCTTTGGCCGCAGGAGGATCCAGCCTGCGAGCACGGATCCCACTGGGCGTGAAGAGAAGCAAGGCAACGCAGCAAATACACAGCCTCACGCACCGCCGATAGCGGCGACAGCGGCCGCTCCCACTGCTTTGCCTTTGGTGGCTGACATGGCTCCGACAGAGATTAGGTTCGTTGATTGTTGTCAACACTCGGACCTGTGAGTTCACGTTCACAGCCTTGTTTATGACACCTCAGGAACCCCGCTCCCCCCCGCACGCGCACCCACACAGCCTGCATCTACTCGTCGCAAATGATGGCGCCCTTGACCTTCATCCTCACGGCGAATGCCCTCTTCTTGTTGAGCAGCAGTAGTGTCTTGCCGTCGTGCCCGCCAAAGCAGAGGTTGCTGACGCCACCCTTCACCTTGATGCGGCCGAGGTAGCTACCGTCGGGCGAGTAAACGCGCACGCCATCGCCGCAGCCCGCGTAGAGGTTGCCGCGCACGTCGCACTTGAGGCCGTCTGGGTAGCCCTCGGCGCCCGTGTCGACTTCCTTCTTGTCGCACAGATCAATCAGCTTACGCGCGTTGGCCAGCGACGGCGCGCTGCCGTGTTGGCCGTCATGCACGACGTCGTACGCAAAGACGCAGCTCCTCTCGCCGCCAGGGCACGCGTGCCGAAGCTGCTTGCCGCGGGCCCACTTCCCGCTCCACACATCAGAAACGTAGGCCGTCTTCTCGTCGGGCGACAGCAGCACGCCATTCGGCTCATCGGCGCGCCTGTCGACCCTGCGCCACTCGGCCAGATCCGAGCACTTTTGCGGGTGCGACGGCACAGCCCAGACGGCCTTGGCGGTATCAAACGGAGCCGCGCGAAAGCCCTGCGATTCGAGGCCGTACGCAGGGTCGGTGAAGAGGAGATGGCCGGAAGACTTGTGCAGCACGAGATCATTCGGTGAGTTCAGCGTGAGGCCGGCTTCCGGGCCGAGTCGCGTCGCCACGCTCAGCGTTTTGTCGATGTGCCACAGCGAGCCGCTCACGGAACCCAGCCCTTGCGAGCACAGGAACGCACCACCCTTGAAGTCCGTGGTGCCGCCGTTGCCCATCTCTATCGCTTCTTCGAGCGCACGCAGCCGGCGCACGTTTCCCGACGGGTGGTGCAGCGCTATGATCTTGACGTTGGTGGCGAGGGTGTTTTGCTGCAGCCGGTCGGACGTGACGAGCCACTCCGAGGAGCTCGGAATCCAAACGCCAGCCTCGTGGAAGAGCGGCTCGTCACATTCGGCTAGCAGCACCGCGACAGACGTGTGCAGCTCGTCAAACTCGCACTTGGTCGCCTCGGTCGCCTCGAAGACGACCGGCTGCTCCGTCGGCTCGCACACGTCGGGCATGGCCGAGCAGCAGATGAAGCGCATGGTTCCAGTAGACCTACTGTTAAATGATAGTAGTAGGGCAGTGTGGTCGCAGGGCGCCCGGGTCGCCTCGGAGCAGCCCCGCCGGGGAGGTGGGTGTGGCAAAGGAAATCACCAAGCTCCTGCGCGCGCATTGCAATGCCGCAGACGTGTCGTGATTGTGCTCAACTGTGATCGAGGATTCCTAGATACCCGAACGTTTGAGCTGTGAAGGTCGGCCATGTATGTTGTGGTGTGTGTGTGTGCGCGCGCGTGTTGTGTGTGTGGGGGGGGTCCATCGAAACCACCATCGAAACCACAACGAAAAGCGCCCCCCCCGGCGCCTAGATTGTCATGCCGTTCCTCGCTCGCTCGATGCGCCAATGCCTCCTTGCCCTTGCGCTCCTCGTGCACTCAGTTGCCGCGCTTCCTGTTGCGGTGTCCACCCACAGAGATGCGGTCGCGGCGAAGCCCTCCTACGAAGATGCGGTCGCGGCGGAGCTGATCGCACCTGATGAGGTTACGGTGTGCCTCGCCGCGGGCGAGGAGGGGCTGTCGGTCCGGCCGATGGATGGGGGCGATCCAGAGGGCTATGAGGCGGATGTGGCGCGGCTGGTGGCGCGCGACCTGTCTACGAGGCTCGGCATGGACCTGACGCTCAAGTATGTCTATCCGACACTGGAGGAGCGCTTGGAGTATCTGGAGCAGAGGAAGTGCGACTTCATGGCCGAACTGCTGACCAACGACGTCCAAGGTCAGCGCCGGCAGAGCGTGGCCTTCACCGGCCAGCCATATCTGGTAATCCACGAGCAGATTTTGGTGAAGAAGAGCAGCAACGTCGCGGGGCCGGGCGACTGCCAGAAGGCGGCGGTCGCCTCGGGATCACAGACTTCTCGCAACTACGCGGAGAAGTTCCCGCAGGTCGAGCAGGTCCTCACGACGGGGTACAACTCTGCGGCCATCGTGCTGCTCCTCAACGGCACCGTCGACTGCATCGCCAACGACGACCTGGTCTTCGACAAGCTGCTCAAGGAGGCCGACGCAGGTGGCTTTGGCACCGACGTCACTTCAGCCAGCTTCCGCCAGGTCTCCACTAGCAACATCTTTGCGCCCAAGCCGTGGGGCCTGGGGATCAACATCAAGAACACCTTGCTGCAGGCCGAGCTTGGCGCCATCATGACCTACCTCGACGCCTATGGCGAGTTTGACCAGCCGCGGAAGAAGTGGAGCATCAGCTCGAAATGTCGCAAATCCACAGCTGTTGCGTGACGTTGTGACCATATTAGCATTACAACTGTGACGGTTCCAAATCCTCTCTTCCTTTCTCTCTGTTCGTCTTTGTAGTGTTCATTCTGTGAAAATGTTGTGTCCAATTCCCCGTGCGAAGCGCTGGGCGATTTCCTTTTCTTGCATATAGAACTTTTGACCGCGCAAGATAAAGGGTGGCTAAGGGCTCTGCACGCAAGGCGCTCCAAATTCGGGTCGGAGCGTAGCGGAGTGGGCCCCGAGTTTGAAAAGGGCGACTCCTAGCCTCCAACAACGCCTCCCCGGCGCAGAGGGGCCTCCGGAGGGATGCACAACCAACCCACGCCACGCCGCTTGCGGCGGTCCTATTCCCAGCTCCCAAGGCAGGGGAGTTATTTTCGGAGTCGCTGCTGCGCCTATAAGGCTGCTGCTTGTACTGAGCAACTGGCAACTCGCCGCGTCCGGCGTGTCACCGGCGAGACCCGCCGTCGGCCTTCTTGTGCGCCTCGCGAGAGGCAGCCTCGGTCCAGCGCTATGACGGACGCAATCTCTGACGATTTCGAAGTCGGACTGCTGGTCGAGACCCATTCGCTGAGCCGTGACGATTTAATCGGCAAACGCGGCTTCTGCACGGCCTGGGATGAAGCCAAAGGACGCTGGGGTGTTGCGATAGTCGGCGACGCCAACGTGCTTGCTATAAGGCCCAGCAATCTTCGAGCGGCTGCTGTGCCTGCACCGGTCGATGCAGACGCTGCCACCGACATGGCGTATGAGGCTGCGCGGCTCCTGTCCAAAGCGCGGAAGGTGAACTCTTCCCAAGCGGCGAGCTTCATTGCACAGGCTGAGGAGCAGCTTGGTCTTGCCGAAGCTCGTGACCCAGCCTGTGCCGTGATGCTCCAGGCGCGTGGTGATCTCGCCCACATGCGCGGCGACCACGCCCGCATGGCCACCGAGATGCAGCGCGCCGTGGCGAACAGCCGCGGCACGCGCGACGAGAAGCTCGCCCAGCGCATGGGCCTCGCGAACGCGCTCGGCGAGGGCGGAGATCTCCCGGGCGAGGAGACCCAGCTGCGGGCTGTGTTGCGTGTGGCCCCCGGGCACATCCACGCGCGCTTTGCTCTGGGCAACCTCCTCAGCAACAGTGGCCGAGGTGACGATGCCATCTCTGAGTTCATGATGGCGCTGCAACTCCCAAACGACGACCCGCCGCTGGAGGAGCCGATGGTCGACCAGCTGCGCAGCCATGCGCGCTCATCGCTGTGCAACACGCTCGGCTGCGGCTCGCAGCAGGCGGCGGCCACGGGCAATCACGCCCGCGCCGTCGAGCTGCTGAAGCGCCTTCTGACAGTGCCCGGCATCGACGCAAACGAGATTGCGCGCAGCGGGTCCAACCTTGCCACGTCGCTTGCCAAGCTCGGGCGGTTGGCCGATGCTGAGGCGGCGGCGTCGAATGCCACGGCTGCGGAGGCTTGCAACCCCACCATCAAGGCCCTGGCGCGATACAGCTTGGCATGCTGCACGGAGTTGCGCGCCGACGCGTGCACGGATCCCCAGGAGAAGGCGGCGATCTACGCAACAGCGAAGGAGCTGTTTCGGTCGGCTCACGAGGTGCGCCCCGACCCAGCCAGCAGCATGGGCTATCGCCGCGTCGGTGCCAAGACGCACCCGGACATGGAATGGACCTTCCTCTCCGACGGGCGCATGCACGTCGCTGGAGGTGGCACGCAGGAGGTCTTCCAGGGCAGCGGCATGGGTGGCGGCGGAATTGCGCGCCATCTGAAGGAAGGGGTGGTGGTGGACGCGCTTGGCGATTTGTGACCATTAGCATTACAATTGTGACGGTTCCAAATCCTCTCTTCCTCTCTCTCGTCATTCTAGTGTTCATTGTGTGAGGAATGTTGGGTCCATTCCCCCGGTGAATGGCGCTGGGCGATTTCCTTTTCTTGCATAAGCCGTCCTCCGTCCAGAACTTTTTTTCGCAAATTCTTCTTCTTCTGACAAAAAGAAGGCCGACACTCGGTGATCACAAAAGGAGGGAAGGAGTCGCCGCGTGCTGCTGCGCCTAGGCTGCTGCTCGATCGAGGGCCCACCCGACACTGTCATCTCGGCCGATTCCGGGCTCCCCTTCAACGCGGGCAACTATGGGACAACGACGACGGCGAAGACGCGGAGTATCACTTCGTGGTCGACCCGGAGCACACCGACTTTGGGCCGGGCAGCAAGCACCCGTGGCCCGAGGACACCAAGCTGCGCGAGCCCCACTCAGCCAGCCCACAGCCCCCTCCCCACCCCCCCTCCTCCTCCGACCCCGCGCGCAGATACAACGCGATCCATCCTGCGCGGCCTGGGCGGGAAGGCTCCCCTTTTTCGTGCAGAAGCTGGAGCAGCTGTGCTTGGGCAACAACTACACGACGACGCTGCACATCATCAACTCAGCGTGCGTCAAGCTCTCCAAGATCATGACCGCGCAAAAGGTCTACCACGTGAGCGGCGGCGTGCTGCCGAGCGAGTTTTGGGCCAAGAACGAGTGGAACGTCGCGGGCGGCGTCGAGTTCGCGTTCATGTCGACCACGCTCGACAAGGAGGTGGCGCTCCACTACGGGGGGAGCGGCGGGGCGGGTCTCTGCTTCGAGATTCAGATGGGGATGGTGGATCGCGGCGCCTCGCCCTCGTGGCTGAGCCAATACCCTCACGAGTCCGAAATCCTTTTCGCCCCTATGACGGGACTCGAGGTGCTCGGCACGAGGGTGGAGAGCGGCGTCATCGTTGTCGAGACGCGCCTCTCGGTCAACCTCACCGCGCTGACCATCGAGCAGGTCGTCTCCGAGAGGGCAGAGAGGTCAGAGCGATCGGATACGAGCGATGCGGTCGAAATGTTGTTGATAGGTCGTCTCACGGCGGCGCAAGCTGTGCATGGACATGTGCGAGTCGATGCAGCTCGAACTGGCCCACGAGATGACGCAGACGGCGTGGTCCGAGCTCAGGGAGCTCACCGACGGGGCGGAGGCGGCCTTCGATCTGCCCGGCTATGCGAAGAGCGTGCTGCGAGACATGCTGGCCGAGTCGACGTCGCATCCGCCCGAGCACTACAACAACGAAGCCAACATGCTGATGCGAACGAAGGATGCGGTGCAGGCGAAGAACGCGGTTAGCGATTTGGCTAACGGATGGGAGCGCTTGCAGATGGCGGCGCCCAACCTGCCGGCGCTGCTGTCGGCCTCGGACCTCAACGTGAGGTCGATGAAGAGCAACCTCAAGGCGGGCGGCGCAGGTGCGCTTTCCGTGCTCATGTGCTGCTCGCAGGCGCTGCACAGCCTGAAGGCGAGCGGCGAGGAGATGGGGCCGGAAGGCGCGGTGTACCTCGGCCACGGCATCGCGGGCGCCACCTCGATCACGGAGCTCGACGTGTCGAACAACAAGCTGTGCGGCATCGAGGCCGCAGATGAGCGGGAGGCGTACAACGGCACGCACTTCGGCACCTTCTGTAAGCTGCTCGCCAAGAACTCGAGCCTCACCAGCCTCGACGTGTCGGCAAACTACATCCTGGCCGACGGCACCACGGCGCTGTGCGCCGCGCTCGCCGGGAACAAGCGGCTCAAGACGCTCAAGCTCAACGACTCGGCGATGCAAGAGGCGGGCTGGATCGCCCTCGCGAGGATGGTCGAGGACGCGCCCTCGCTCGTGGTGCTCGAGGCCAACTGCAACCTCGAGTTGATGCGCCCTGCCGAGATCCCAGCCGTCGCCAAGGCCATCGCCTCGGCAGTGGGGCGCAGCAAGAGCCTCACTAGCGTCGACCTCTCCTCGCAGGAGTGGAAGAATGGCGAGGCCAGCGGCCTCCTTCCGCAGCTGCTGGACTGCAAGTCGCTGGCCACGCTCAACCTCTCCTGCGCCGAGTGCGGGCCCCACATTGGCGCGGGCCTGGCGCAGCGCTTGAAAGGCCACCCGGCGCTCACCAGCTTGCAGCTCGACTCCTGCGAGCTGGGGTCGGGCGCGCTGCCCATCTGCGCCGCCGTCGGCGACTGCGGCCTCACTGAGCTCAACCTCTCCAGCAACGAGCTGGACGCGGCTGCTGCCAACGCGCTCGGCGAGGCGCTGGCCAGCAGCGTGACGCTCAAGAGGATTGACGTCCAGTCTAACCTGATCGAGGAGGGCGGCGTGGCGCTGGGCAAGGGCCTCGCCGCCAGCACGTCGCTGACGGAGCTTGAGCTCAGCGACTGCGCGCTGGGCGACGAGGGCGGCGCGGCCGTCCTCGAGGCGCTCAGGGGCAACACCACGCTCCAGGTCCTCAAGATGAGCGACAACAAGTTGAGCGCGGGCGTGGCTCCCGCGCTGCGCGCCATCGGCGAGAGCACCTCGCTGACGCAGCTCGACCTGTCGGAGAACAAGCTGGGCCCCGACGCGTGCGCTGACCTCGCCGCCGGTATCGCGAAGAATGCGTCGCTGCGAGAGCTCGAGCTGAACTACTGCGCGCTCGGCGCCGGCTGCGCCGCGCTAGGCGACGCGCTCAAGTCGAACTCGACGCTCACGTCGCTAGAGCTCAACGACAATGGGATCATGAAGGCCGAGGCCGCCTTGCTGAGGGATGCCTTTCGCCGCCGCGCGGAGCGGCTGCGCAAAGAGCTGGCCGAGCGTGGCGAGAAGGGGAAGAAGACGTGGACTATTCAGGTCGACCAGACGCACAAGTTTACCGGGCGCGACCTCGACCTCGACGACCTCAACCTCGACCTCGACGACCTCGACGACCTCGACGACCTCGACGACCTCGACGCGTCGAGGGCCTCGGATGCGAGCAGTATCCCCGACGCCGAGGAGGGCGCGAGCGACCTCGACGACCTCGGCCTCGACGACCTCGACCTCGACCGCACGGTTCGCCAGCCGGTGTGAAGAGGACGGCGCCTGACGGCGAAGCCCGCTCACGGACCGGTCTGTGGAGCGTTAGGGAGGCGGTTCTACTATCTACCTGGCCCCTGTACGAATTCCTACATCCTAGCCTCGCTCGGCTACCAGGCGAGATTGTCCGGCTGCGCTAGCTGCCGCCCACCACGGCGCTGACGGTTGTTGCGGGTTGTTTTTCTGCGCGCGTCACGGACGGTTTTTGTAGGAAGCACTTGCGACGGCGGGTTTTTTTATAGTGCGCCAAACGCGACGTTTTTGTGCTGTGGTCGTTTGCGATTCCTTTGCACACGATGCTCCT